GTTCCGTTTCCGGTTGGCAAAAATCCCCTCGAGTTTCGCTAAAGCGCTCGTTAAAGCGGCGACGACCTCGATGGTGGAAAGAATTCCCTTGTAAATATCGCCCGATTTCCACGTGGAAAAATTTCCTGCCCTTCGAGATCGACCGATTCCGGGATTACGTATGTTTAACGGGTTCTAACCTCTTGGAAATCGTTAGAGTAGAATCGGATTTCTTCCACGTGGAAAATTCGTCTCGACGAGCACGCGCCGCGTACACACGCTCTCCATTTTATCCGGAATCATCCGGTGATAATTCCAGCCGTTCGATTCGGCCGATAACCTAACGAGAAAAGCGGCTTTCGATCGATCGTGGCCGTAACGAAATTTCATCCGTGGTTTCAACGCAAAATAAAAAAAAACAGGGCGAGGAGAAAAGACGGGGGAGAAGGGATTAGTTTTCGTTCAATCCGCCCCAATATTTCCTGGGTGGGTGTTTTTCAACGCAGCTACGTTTCGAGAATTTCCGCGAAATTCTGACCGAGATTGAAGCTTGAATTTGATAATTTATCGGGCGATTCGGAATTTTCAAGAAACGCGAGGTCCTTTTCATTATTCATTTAGGGGGCTAGGTTTATCGCGTGCACGCTACATTACCCATCGTCCATCCCCCTGCCATCCCCCTCGCCCGATCGTCAAATCGCCACCGAAACTTTTCCCTTTTCCTTTTTAGAGTCGATCCCTCTAATTGATTAAAACCCTTCTCTCGCCGATTCTCGGGGAATCCGAAATATTTGATATCGGGGAAAATTGAAATTCCTCCGACCTTTTTGCATCCCCCTTCCCTAACGTCGCTCGCTCCTCCCCCCTCCGATNATCGAGGAACCGAGTCAAGTTCCATTCGCCCGAATTTCCTTCCGAAGAATCCTCTCGTGGCGATTCATCCGAAAATCGTTGAGGAATTTTCCGAGAATCCAGCGCGAAACACGGCGGATAACACGGTATATTCGATATATTCATAATCGAGTCGTACGGAATTACGGGGGGAGAGGAAGAATCGGCAAGAAGGCGAGGGGCTCGAAACCTTTTCGATTCGATCGATCGACGGTGCACGCTTGGAAATCTTGGGAATTCTGAGCGAGAGGAGACAGAGAGAGCATCGCGAAAAAGAGGGAGCTTGGACCGTGCGATAACGTCGTCGAGGTCGAGGATTCACGATCGTTCGGTTGGGGAGATACCCTCCCACGAATCGTAAGTTTAAATTGGCCGATATCGGTGGCTCGCGCGTCCACTTTTTCCGCTCCTCCCACCACCTCGAGTTATCATACCACCGGCCCACTTCCGGGAAAAACTTTGTCGACCCGGGCTTGTAACGAACGGAGCTGCGAACGTGCTATCCCATCTGCTTCCAAGGTTAATCGTATCGAGCCAGCTCCCTTTATCCCGATTTCGAGTTTCAATAATTTTCGAACGGTTGGGGAAAGCTCGAAACGAATCAGATCGAGATCCATCGGTTATCTTATCGGAGGAGAAAAGAGTGGAAAAGAGTCTCGATGGCAGGAATCTATTGCAGCGCTTAAAAATTGAATTCGCGACAAATGATCGGTGGGCGTTACTCGTTTCGACGACTTATCGATAGATACGCTGGCGCAGGAGAAAGAGTGTCGAAACGAAAATCGGGGCGCTTTTTTATATTCGAGGTTCACGCGACCGAGCTCGTTACACGTGTTAACCACTGTGATACGATGCGATCACGCGACCGCCAGCATTAAATCCGTAGCGATTTCGGCCTGGAACGCGCCCTCGAAGGAGGGCGACTGCGGTGGATTCTGAAATTTACCTTCGTCTCGACGAAAGGGATAGCAACGCGTCACGTGGGGCGCGCGGTTTAAACGCCGGCTGCTCCTCCATAACTCATCGTCGCGATTTAATTTATCACCGTTATTCGTTCGCGCTTAGCCAGGGCAATTAGTCGCCTCCCCTTTAATTCATCGCTATTTAGTCGTCGCCCCTGGATTTATCGTCTTATTTCAACGGGGTCGTGGAAAAGTTGGAATTTATCTAACATTCGGAGTATGCGAAACACGGTTGGGAAACTACCTCTAATGAACGTCAAAAATTTCGTTTCTCGATAACTCGAGGAACGAGCCAACCGCTGATAATTTAACCCGGCCTCGTTCGCGACAATTCCCTCCCTTTTCGCCACCCTCGTCCATCATAATCGAATCGTTGCGGAGGATGGAGGCGAGAAGAAGAAGAAGAAGAAGA